CTGAATGTTTCCAGATTTGAAAAGATTGTACACTGCCTCAACATAAAATAACTGGCAACCTTACTAAAACCAAGCTATTAGTGTGTCTAAACACTCAAACCAGGTGAATATGCAATCATCTAATCAGAGTAAACCCTAAAAGCCACTCCATTCATACAGTCTTTAAAGTGTACTGCACTTTTGTCAACAAAGTACATAAAGTCCAAAAACAGACCTCAAAACATTGAAACAGTGGCACATTAGGAAGTGGTCACGGGTCAGTTGCCGTTACTGTGTGGAGTTTGAATGTTCTCCCTGCGTTCACGTGGGTTTCCTTTGGGTTCTCCGGTTTCCCCCACAGTCCAAAGACGTGTGGCACAGGTGAATTGGGTAGGCTAAAATTGTCCGTAGTGTATGTGTGAATGAGTGTGTATGGATGTTTTCCAGAGATGGGTTGCAGCCGGAAGGGCATCCGCTGCGTAAAACAAGTTCATTGCGCTGTGGCGACCCCAGATTAATAAAGGGACTAAGCCGAAAAGAAAATGAATGAATGAATGAACTGAACTCTCGCAGATCATGTGCCACCAACCTCCATAAAACATGCTGAATCACTTAAAAAGTATATTTGAGTTCTTTTGGGTGTTCCATATTCAGTCTATACAAGAGGCTGAACAAGTAAGCGAAGGCTGCAGGCAGATGTGTGATATCCTGAAGTACTATGGCCTCCTCCAAGATTTTAACGAGGTTCATCACATATTGCAGGGATGCAAAAGTGCCATTATCATCTTCCACCACAGTGAAGATTCCAATCCTTTAATCTCTGGTGCTGTGGTCTTCAGGGTCCGTGTCCTTATAGGAGATTAAGTAATGGGAAAATTAATTGATGTGTAATATTAATTACTACTTATTAATGTTATTACTATTATGCAAAGAAAATAAAAACATGTAATACTTTCGTACATACAAACAGTAACACTTTGAATAGTCTATAATATATAATAATTGAACAATATATTGACAACTTTTTAATATTTAGCAATTTTTTAAACTTTTATTTTACATAAAATTGCAAAGATTTACTTTTATTTGATACAGTTTCAATTGTGAAAGTTGTTTATTGTCCTGTTTAGAATATAACTGAGCCTTTAATTGTCATTCATAAGGGATTTATAAAGCATAAATAGTCCTCACTTTAGATTAGGTCACAACTGGATGAAGTTAAGCTCATAAAGCATATACTAACATACAAAGTAGCTATTATTACATACCTTAATATTAGGATATTTAAATGTTAATTTGAATAGTTTATTAATCGTGTACTTAAGCATTCTGAATGATCTTAAAAACACCAACTATTCTTAAATAACTGGTTTGTAAATAATGCAATACTTAAATTAGTAATACAAATGAATCATTAAAGTTAAAAATATACAATCATTGAGCACTTCATGTAGAGTTATGCTTAACAGAAAATAAATTAACTATTCGCTAATACTAAATAAATTATTTATGGCGTGCAGCTATTAAAAGTGTTACCAAGCAGACTAATAAATGTAGAATAGGGTATGAAAATGGGTAACTTACCAGACATATCTTGAGAAAGCAAGCAGAATTTTTACGAAGAAAAATTGGCAATCCCTCAAGAGCTGCTCTTTCTCGATCGGTGACAATATCAGTGACCTACAGGAAAGTCATTTACAAAGGGTGTTTTACAATCTTATTGTTTTGTAAGTAAAAATGTACTTAGTACATTTAAATGAGCATAGTATTTTATTCATGCTGTTGAAAAAACACATGGCTTTATTTTTAAAAAAGAATTTTGTGGTTTCCATACAATGGAATTTGATAATGGTTGTGTTGGCAAATTTAGAAAAATGTTTAGTTTCATGTGACAATTACTTTGAGTTAAAAACTACAGCAATTATTTTCTATTTTCCTCTTTGAATGTATTCATTTGAAATGGTCACTCAAAACAAGTGAAACATCTGTTATTTATCTTACTTCCATCTCACAATCAAAACACAACTTGACACAATTAAAATTAATGCAAAAGGGCTGGACAATTAAATTGTTGCAATTACGTTTTATTAGACTGTATTACCTGAGCATGAAATTCTTGACAGGACAAAATATGTTGCACATGTTAAAAACATCAGACGGGTGTATAAGAAAAAAAAAAATCTTAATGAGTACCTGCTCATCCATCTTGTTTAAAGTTGTATCCATCTCTGGACCCATTGAATCCCTTCTTTTCTGTAGAGTTTCAGGAGAGGTGCTGTATATTTATCAAGTCACTCGATTAACTGTCTCAGGAGATCTACATTACAGATCTGAGAAAACTCTGTGCAGATCTACAATATATATATATATATATATATATATATATAAATATATAAATGCAAATATTTAAATGTTCAAATGCTGAATACAGATGTATTTTGAATTACCTATAATAATAATGTTGTTTGTTATTTTTAGCATTATCATTACTACCTTGAATGAAACTAAAGCAATTGCAATATAGTGACTTACCTCTTCCTTAAAGTCCAGGTTATCTCTCTCTAATTTCTTCCTGGCTAAATCTCAACAACTTCTTTTGGGCAAAGAGAAAAGGTTTCTTGCATCTGCTGGTGAATGACCGTCAAATTTCACTGATGATAGCAAGTCTCACCTCCTCAAGGAAATCTTGCATTGAATTATGTCATTGTCAATATTTCAGTCCTTTTGAGCAAAAAGAAAGAAAAATATATATTTAGCCCTTTATATTTTTTATGTAAATAAAAGCTAGCTGGCTGTTAAAGCAAGTTGGTCTGAATATGATAGACATTTAGTCGAGCTAACAAATCAAGCAATGAATTACATGAAAATCACACGATTTTCACACAAATTACACAGTTAAACACGTCACCGTTTGTTCCACTGGCTCTGGTTCGAAGGGAAAAAAGGTTATGATGTGCGCAATGCTGACAGCAATCTAGATAAACAGGACATAATGTTATATTTGACTTGGATACCTGATCTGGTATGTTATATGATACTCATTGTATTAATCGTGAGTTATTAAAGCAAATGACTCGATTGAAATCGCTATTTGTTTTAAATACATTCACTCTAAACTTTTATTGATGTAAATAGCCAAAACCAAGTGCACGAAACAAGTAACTCACGGCTAAATTATAACAAATAGTTCCGTATTAGGATACACGCGCACATCAAAGCCAACATATCAAATAATATAACGTTAGATGACAACAAAAAAAGACATACATACCTATGATTTAGCAGAAACGTCGTTGGCCTGCTCTTAACTAGGGATGGCTGACGTGAAACTGATGTTTTGACACAGTGTCGAGATCCCGAAGCGCAAGTGTTTCCAATCACTGCACCGAAGCATGATCCGAAGCACCCAAGTCACGTGACTAAAGCGATTCAAAGCATCGATCAGCTTAGATACGTTTCGAGACCTGGTGAATCCTAATTTGACTGCCAAGGTCTCCAAATTATCTCTGTCTCAAATGGCTTAGAGCACTGTGGGTTTGCTTATTGAATCTATGCTTAGCATGATGTTTTGGGTTCGAATCCCGACTTCGAAATCATGGTTTTATGTATTTTAATCATGTTTCTGTTTTGTGTAGCCTAAATAGGATACAGCTACAGTTACGCCATCAATTTAGCATCATTTTTGTAACACTGTAAAACAATAATAAATATTTTTACAGTATGGTTGGGTTTAGGGTTTGGGTAGACATTAATAAAATACAATAAATGGGAAATTTAATGAATAATATAAATAATTCTTGATAACTTCAGGCCACCGTTTTTGATCTAGCAACAACCCTGTTTTAAGACAAAAACAAGACATATTTATTCACAAATTGTTTATTCGGATATCAGACCAATGTTGAAACAAAACGATACAAGAGCAAAGCATTACCAACTGGTATTAAAGCATTTTAAAACAACTGTTACTGACTGGCTTCGAAACCTTCTACTCTTGCATGGATGTCTGACACCTTAACCACTGTACTATGTTATTTGAAGGATTCCACTTTTACAAAGTGGGGTTTAATCCCTCAATTTGTTCAATCGTTCTTTGCTGAAGCTGTTTCAGTGCAATATATATAAAAAAATGACCACTAGATGTCACTGTAGAGTGAGGTTTCGAAACGTTTCGAAGCTTCGACACATTTGCTTCGACTGTTTCAGTGTTTCACGAAGCCTCGCTTTGCCCACCACTTCTCTTAACCGCTCTATCACGGTCTCTCACATCATTAATACACTGGTAAAATAGATCGGGCAGTCAGATGGGTAGCACATCGCACAAAAACATGTATACAATTATATACAATCGATTATGAAAACGATTGACACGTAGCTCCGCAGAAAGAAAGATGGTTCGTTTTGTCGCGCGCACGTGACAGGTACCCCCTGCAGTGAGCTATGGAAGTAAATTGCGCATGCGCCAGAAGCTTATAAGGCGCATGCGCCAACAAGAAGGGCACGCATCAACGCAAAACTAAGAATTTTGTATTAGTTCAACGAAATATTTTAAGTTTTTCACATTGAAGCACCATATTTGTTGAACAAACTAACTATTATTTGTCAGCATTTCAAATGAAAATATTTAAATTCAGTTAACTTATTAATCTTTGTTCAGAGGACTTTTTGAAAGTTGGCGTTTTTACAGTGTGAGAGTGTATAAGCTTCCTCACATTGAACTATGTGGAAATATTTCATTTGATTTTGCTGTGCAGCTGCCAAACTAAAGTTTGTTTAGTTCAACTGCATTGTACTTACTGTGTAAATGTTCCATGGGTTTTAACAGATTTTTAAAATTAGCAGAAAATTTGTGAAATATGGCCCTGAACGTATAGTAGGTTATGAGAAAATGATTTAGTTTCAAATGAATGCTTTTTATTACATTAATGTTTTGAACTTAAAAAAAAAACGTCTTAATATTGAAAATTGCAAAGTTTTACTTTTTTTCTTTTTTTTAAAGAAAGAAACGTTCACAACCTCAGTATGCATTAAGACAACAGTTTATTTTTCCAGCTTTAGCTGACTTTAAAAAGCACAAGACCCTAAAAGTTTTGTAATGTACTTATTAATCAAGCAGCACCTGTTCATGCAATTCTTACAATTGCAATTTATATATATTTTTTTCAAAGGATGTCAAATAAGCCTTAGTAACAAACTGCAAATAATGAACATAATGTTGCTTAAGGAAAATGTGTGGGTAGGATTTCTAAAAATCACTTATAAAATATTTAATATTTTAAATATTTAAAGCTTTTTAAGAGCCTTAAGTGCACAGAGGCTCTGGTGATAAGTACAGCAGGACTATAATTACCAATCCTGTATTCACAATTGTAGTAATTGGAACTTTTTGCTTCACAATTCTAGAAAGAAGAGCTAGGAATTCTGTCTTATCGCAGTTCTGACTTTCTCAAAATTCACATTTTACATTTCACAGCTTTGCAATTCAGAAAAAAAAAATAGCCAAGTCAGAATAGAGAGATATTAGTTACAAATGAACTTTTTTTTCAGTGGCTAAAACAAAGTGTTCACGTGTAAATATGAATTGATATACATTTAATATAAAATATTTAAGGGAAAATATTTGTTCACTTTTATTAATTGTGTAAACCTTACAAAACACATGACATTTCTAGATATTTACAGATGCTACAAATAAATAAAGCCTTAGCATACAAACAAACATAGCTAAATCTTTTTTACTTCAATCAAAAACTTAAAGCTCTTCAAAACTGTAAGCTGTTACTAATCTGTTTTCCTATAAAATGAGGCAATTTCCAGTGCTATATATTGTATGTAATAAATCAGCAGTTGGAGTGTATCCTCCATTAAGACATTGACAATCTCTTCTTTGACACTTAGGCATCTGATAACTACTATTTAGTATTTACGTCCATTTAATTTCCACTCTCCTTTATAAGGCTTTGACCCCAGGCCAATGATCAGTCCTTTTTCAACAGACACAGTGTCCTATTTAGTCTCTCCTTGGGTCATCTAGTCTTGCGATCATTCAGGATCTTCTGGTGTCCATTGGGCTCCAGGCCGTGGAGTTTGAGGTGGTCTTTACTGTAGCGGCGGATCAGAGCTCCAGGAAGCAGCGCCACACACGCGATCAGCAGCAGCTGCAGTAGGGTGGACCATGAAAAGATGTCATCCAGAGAGTTGATCTCTGACAAGACGGCACCCGTATGGACACAGATGAAGTTGTAAGGGATTAAACCTGGGGAGAGAAATAAAGGTTTTGTTAAGTTTTTTTCTATAGCGTTTTTATTTTTAATGTAAATAATGTAGATTATATATATATATATATATATATATATATATATATATATATATATATATATATATATGAACAGGTTAAAGTTAAACAATAAAAATCCCATCAGGACAGAACATATTGAATACATCAGACAGCAAAATAATTTATTATGAATGTGAAAAAAATTCAAAACTGCTTGTATTCTAGCAAAAATAAAACAAATAGGACTTTTTCTAGAAGAAAAAATATTATCAGACATACTGTGAAAATTTCCTTGCTCTGTCAAACATCATTTGGGAAATATTTAAAAAAGGAAAAAAAATCACAAGGGGGCTAATAATTCTGACTTCAACTGTATATAAGTGAAATGCAGATTTCTGAAAGCAATATTACCATATTTAAGTATGCTGATGACATGTCTGTGGTTGGACTTAGGGTCAAAGGAAAGGAGGAGCTAGAGAGGGTCTACTTTGAGCACATAGAACATCTGGTGACATGGTGCGAGGAGAGTGCTTTGTCACTAAATGCTTTGAAAACTAAGGAACTAATTATTGTAGGAAAGGGCAGCCTATATGTCATCCAGTTACCATTGAGGGTCAACATGTGGAGATTGTAAACAGTTTTAAGTATCTGGGGATGATTTTAGATAGTGGCTTTAATTTTGGTGAACACGCAGACTATATCTATAAGAAGGCAACACAGAGACTCTTTCTTTTAAGGAAATTAAATAGTTTTAATGTTAGTATGGGTATTCTGAGAAAGGTTTATACCAGTCTGGTTGAAAGTATTATCTCCTATAATATTTCTTGCTGGTACCGAAATCTTGGAGCTAGAAGCATGTATAAACTTGTAAAGATCGTTAACACCGGTAGTAAGATCAGAATGGACCCCCAGAAGTAGCTTGTGGAACTGTATATAAATCAAACCAGACGGAAAGCCTCACAGATAGTTCAGGACTCAATTTGAAAAGCTTCCTTCTGGTAGACGATACAGAGTACCCACAGCAAAAACAAATATTTTTAAGAAATCTTTTATACCGTCTGCTATTACCATATTGAATAAATGACAATGAAGTAGATAAATGTATGTCTAGGGTTGAGGTTTGGTAATCTGTGGTGTAGAAAGCTTTGTGTTTGTGTTTGTGCTCTGTGTTTGTGTTCTGTATTTGTGATGTTTGGGAGGCCAAAAATGAACTACACGTGTGGACAATAAAGTTTTCTATTCTATTCTATTCTATTCTATTCTATTCTATTCTATTCTATTCTATTCTATTCTATACCGTACATTTCAAGTGAAATGTTACATTGCGAATGGAGACAATGATGTCATACATCCAGCACCTTAAATTGTCTATTAATTTCCAATTGATTGATTGATTGGTTGGTTGATTGATTGATTGATTGATTGATTGATTGATTGATTGATTGATTGATTGATTGATTGCAACCAATCACACAGTTTTCTGTTGCACTTAAATTTAGGTGTTGTTTGTAAACTGACAAATTTTGTTTGCACCCCAACAAATTATTTCATAGTGCTGTGCTAACATCAGCATTTTTGTTTGCGTTGCTATATTATGACAAACAATTTCCCACAAAACACATCATTCCATATTCTGCAATAATGCTTTTTGGTTTTGATATTGCACCCCTACTCTGTATTGAGTATAGGATTTTTTTTTTATGGAATAGTTTATATACAGTTTTAAACAGTTGCTGATAACATTTTGTTAGAAAGTTATTGGTAAAAATTCCAAATGAGAAACTGATAACATAAGTAATATGTATTTGACATACATGACAAGAGTAACAAATAATTAGGTAATGAAATAAAATATTGTCACACAAATATTTCTGAAACTGCTAAGCAGATATTAACCAAACAGTCTACTAATAATCTAATCACTGCTAGCTGACAAGTTTTAAAGTTACTTAAAGTCAACATGCAACAGATTAATTTTTATTATAAGCTCAGAAAAAAAAGAACTGCAATGTACTGTTATTACACCTCCAACAAAGAAAATATATTCATGTATAAGTGCATGAGTAAAGTAATGCTCACCAATGAGGATGGAAAAGAAGAATATAGGGATGGGGATGTTGAAGATTGGTGAAGTGACGTTCAAGAACCAATTGGGTGTCATGGGAAAGAAGCGCAGAAAGAGCAAGAAGAAAAACAAACTGCTCCTGTTCTCTTCCACCTGATAAAAAGACATATATCATCATCATATTTCAACTCAGAAATTGTAAAGATAACAGATGAAAATAATTATAATCATTTAGAAAAAAAATATTAAAGAGATAGTTCACCCAAACATAGAATTTCTGTCAACATTTACTCTACTTTCTTCTGTTGAACACAAATGAAGATATACTGAAGAAGGTTGGAAAGCAGCAGCTATTGATTTCCATTGTATTTTCAGTTCCTAATATGGAAATCAAGGTTTACTGGTTTCCAACAGAAGCATTTCTCAGAACATGTCGCTTTGTGTTTAGTAGAAGAAAAAAATTTATAAACGTTTAGAACCACTTCAGTGTGAGCAAATGGTAAAAATATTTTCATGTTGGGTTGAACTTTCCCTTCAGGAAGCTGTTCATTGCCAACCGGACCAAAAACTTTGTAAAACATCCTAATTAGACAATAGTTCAAAGATTTTTTTTTTTTTTTTTTGTAACTGAAGTGCAAGCTACACTATAGACCATTTCAATGTGGCGATGTCACTGGCCCATAAACATTTGCTGCTTGTTGTCAAACTATTTTGTCAATTTAACAATAGGAAAATCATATCTTAATGTTAAAATGCATGTCATAACATTATTTATTAATATGTGGACATTTTTAGATTCTTGAAAGCTATGCAAATTAAACATATAATACGAGAAATATGTTAGGACCATTGTTATTGTTTACATTACTCAAAATGGTCTATAAATCAACTTCAGTGTTACACTTTACGTGTTATGTTTCTGTATTTCTAGCTTAATTTTGTAACGTAAGTACACTTTTTTACTTAGTAAAGAACTAGTTTAATGGATTAGTTACATCCTTTACACACACACACACATTTAAAGAAATATCGGTCCCACTTTATTTTAAGTGGCCTTAACTAATATGTACTTATATAGGAATTAATAGTTTGTTATAATGTACTTATTGTGTAAATACATGTATTTACTGTGTACTTACGCTTGATTAATACATGTAATTACATCTGTATTTAACTTTTGTAATTACATTTGTAAATACACTGTTGACCATCCCTTACACCTTAACCCACCCTTAAACCTACCCATGCCACCAAACCTGTCCATAACCCAACCTCCATCCCAACTCAAAAGCACCACAAGTGTTCACAAATACATTATAAACACAGTAAGTACATTGTATTTAATTTTTGATATAAGTACATAGTAGTTAAGGCCACTTAATATAAAGTGGAACTGAAATATCAATAACATCAGCCAACTGTTTATCCTTTTCGGTGTGGGTTCATCGCATGTATGTACAAAGTTCAGTTCCACTCATGCATTATTTACTCTAAGCTATTCCACACATAGCTGACTGTAAACTTAAACATGTCATTTGTACAGTAAACAGACGATCAGTCAAATGTTTGCAAACATTCATATTTGTTTCATGCATATGAAGAAGCCTCTCCTGCTCACCAAAAGTACATTTCAAAATAATAATAATAAAATGATGAATTTTCAGCATAATTACTTCAGAGTTAAGTGTAACTTTCAGAACAAGTGTTATTATGATTATCTGCTAATTTATAACAGTCATATATTACTATTCATAAAGGTTTTTATTATGAATCATTTTTTCATTTGTGTTTTTTGGAAACATAAATTTGACTTTATATTATGCTCAAAAATGACCAGCATATGTATGAAATAAATTATTTTGCAACAATATAAATCTATCTATGTTTTTTGTCACTTTTGATAAGTAATAAAGTAATTTATTTAAAGAGTAAAGAGAGTAATTAATTATATCATAGTTTCCACAACTGTCTACTTATGTTTCTTGATAATGAATTATTCATATTAATATTGCTTCTGAAGGTCACACTGATGACTGGAGCATATCTGAAATATTATGCATTATAGTTTTATTACTGTGATTACCAGGCCCAGATTAAGAACTCAGGGGCACATTTTCTTGTAAGGCCCCCTACCCCACCGCACCCCTATAGTTGGATTAAAAAAATAAGAATAATATAATAATTTTCAAATAAAATGAATCTATTAAAGTATTATAAGGGGCATTTTTAATTTAAAACTTTTACAAACATATAAAGCATATTATTGCCATGGCATATAACACATAATGCCTCTCCAATCTAGTTCTATGAATCTGAGTCTTTCATAATACACACACTTATCAATGATTTACTGTCTCTCTCCTCCTCTCCCTGTATTTTCTCTACTCTCGTCGTGATGAAGAGGCAAACACCATAACTTGATTATAAACCTGATGTTGCTAACATTTAACACCAGGTGGAAAACAACTGTTTAAAAATATAATCACTACTTACTGTAGATGCTGTTACACAGATAAAATAGGCTAAAGTTAAACATTATTAAATACCCACGAGGCACTTGTGACTTTATATCACATTTGCATTTTTTTTTAAATGTTTCTTTTCTATTAAAAATAAATATATTTTCAATCTGATATGTAATGGGGAGAGAAAAAGTAGCACAACTTCAGCAGATGGTGGATTCGAACCAGTTTGATGATCGATCGCATCAAAGGATAATGCTGTGTGCTTTACGAGGTACGCCATCCACGCTGTAATCCTGCTTCGCTCTTTACTCATGTTGTCTCTGTCAATCAGGCATTGATGGGCGTAAACCATGAATATACCTTATTCCAACTAGGTGTGCTTTTTGCACTTAGCCTAAAAATACACTCTGACATTGGCTTTTTCCTCTATCTATCTGTCTATCTATCTATCTATCTATCTATCTATCTATCTATCTATCTATCTATCTATCTATCTATCTATCTATCTATCTATCTATCTATCTATCTATCTATCTATCTATCTATCTATCTATCTATCTATCTATCTATCTATATATCTGTCTGTCTGTCTGTCTCACTTTACTTTGATGGTCCCTTCAATAAAAATGTTGTTGATTATTGTCATGCGTAAGCTTATTCACAAAAACATGCATCTCAGGAAATATGAAAAACACATATTTATTAACAAAACCACTCACAACAGGCACTAGAACACCAAAACACAGGTAGGACAGGAAGTTGTGACAATACTGAACAATACAGTTTTTCTCAGTCGCTTTGGTGCATTTCTCACAACACTATTTCCATTTGCACAATAGTTAATGCGTTTCTCAAAACAAATAGTATAAACTGCAAAATCTAGTTGATAACCTGTAAAAGTGTCATTTGCTCAAAATGGATAGCTCATTCCTCAAAAGCAAGTATTCATGTCAGTGAAAGTCCTGACACCATTGTTTATGAACAAGATAGTCAAATGGCTTTGTCATGTTTTCATTATGACAGTTAACTCTGTACATTTTTTCCAATGCAAAAAAGTCAGATTTTGGTGACACTTCCTGAAAATTCTCAAGACAGCACTATATACTATTTGCACAGCCATTTGAAAACTACAGTGAATTTAGACATCACTGCATTTAGTGAGGTATCTGAGTACAAGACACTGAATATGTGTTTTACATTTTTACTGCATTTGCTCTTTGCAATTCTAATTTATTCACATCATTGTGCAAAAGAATAAACACACCTTATTTACAACAAACATAAACTTTCTTTGGGTAGAGCTGTGCACAACTGTAAACAATATTGCAGAACATATTGGAACTGAACAAACAACATACACAGGTCTGTAAATCATTCCTGAAATTGTAAAATTTTTAAGACGTTTTCAGGAAAATAAAGATTTACATTTTTTTGACAATTAGTTCAACATTTTTTATATGCTGACTCAAGTGATGAGATGAGGACTATTAGTTTTAAATGGATAGACTATTCAGCACTCAAAAGTTTAGTTAATTTTGACTAACATGACAGAGGCAAATAATTATGTATGTTATAGAACAGCAGAGAGTTCTATGAAAGCAATTGATGCACGCACAATAGCATTTGCAATTTGTAGGAAGGAATGAGAAACTGCTACTATGATGTGCACAAATGAATAATTGTTTAAAAAAAAAAATGTATTAACTGTTGTGCAAATGTAAACAGTGTTGTGAGAAATGCACCAAAGCGACTGAGAAAAACTGTAAACTAAGCACACTTAAGGACGAATACAAAACACATGACTGAACTGATAACTAACAGGGGACACAGGTGGATATACAGTTGGAATAATTGTCAGTAAAACTGAACAAAGAATCACATGAAAATAACAGAGAGCACATGAAACACAACACGACACAACAAAAACACCAGATTGTGATAATTATAAGTTACATTGAATGTCTGTTTTTGAAGCAGTATCAGCAGATGTAAATCAGACAGTCTGCTATAATCTGAGAAACTAATGAGAATTAGTTTGCATGTAGTTGCAATATAAAGTATAGTCAACAAAACATCAAATAAAAATAAATAAATCAATATAAAATAAATATATGATACTCATAGAATGCTTGAATTAGCTTCTTTTTTTTATTCATGCATTCTCTGGGAATTAAACCTATAACCTTGCCATTGTTGTGCTACAGAGTAACAACACATGCAAAGTACAGTATAAACAAACAAAATGCAAAGTCACACATGCACTTCCTGACTATTTTTAGAACATTAATTAATGTGCTGAAGGGTTAGGGGTGACCCACCATTCTCTGCAGCATTGCCACTTTCTCAGGGAAGAGCCTGACAATGTGACGTTTGCCAAACGTGCGAGACAGCAGGTAGCAGTTGGTGGAACCCACTGTAGTCAAAGTGCAGGCAATGATGAGTCCATGTAATGGCCCGAACAAAGCCCCTGACAGCATGTTCTAGACATGACAAGAAAGATTGGGAAAATATTTTTAATATTAAGCACTTTAAGTTCAGTCTACTAAGGTGGTTCAGAAAAACAATTACAATAAACTGTTTAACACAGTGGATTTCTGTTACCAACCAGAAAAGATGAGCCTGGAATGGCGAAGGACTGTTTGTAGAGGTAGGCACTGCAGAAGAGGATAAACACATAGCCTGTGTGTTCTGTCTTGTAGAACTTCAGAAGTTCGGCTAGTTCCCTCAATTCCTCCAGATCAGATGGGAACTTCAACCTGGAAAAAATGAAGGACATATCTATCTTTAAAGTCACACCACACGGTGGTTCAGTGGTTAAACTATTGCAACAATTTTATGCACTACTTGCAACAAAAATGTCTTTTGCTTGAGCCCAAGCAAGGATGGGATGAGTTTCTCATTCAAAAAACGTAACCCTTAAAAACAGTCACATGAGAATCACAAACAGGTATGCGTGCTGTGACTGGGTTGGTACCTTTTCAAAAGGTCCATATTAATACCTCAAGGGTACATACTGTATTAGTACCTTAAAAGTACAAAAGTGTTCTTCTTTATATACTATAATATATACTTTTGAGGTTCAACTATGGACCCTTTTAGTACAAATGTGTACCTTTGAAAAGGTACCATAGTGACAGCTAACGTACCTGTATGTGATGCTCATGTAACTTTTTAAGGGTATAAACAATTTCTACTAGATCTAAACGTAGTTACCAGTCTACTAATAATACTGCTCTAATTCTCCAGTACGGGTTAATTTGCATGTAGTTGTAGATTGTGGACAATCAATCAAAAGTGGACAGAGTACAATGTGGAATGTTACTGACAAAGAAAACGACAGAATGACGCTTACACACTTCATAACCTTCTGATCTATTGAACGTCACTGTGGCAGAGAAAACTCAAACACATGCAAAGAAAACAAACACCAACACATTGAGAAAACATCTGAATTTGACAACGCGCACTCACACACACACACACACACAACTCGCAAATTTAGTTTTTCTATATCCATATACAACAAAAACAAACATTAATTTGGATTGTGCAGACTAATGGACTAATTAATTAATTAATTTGTCAATCTACCTACCTACCTACCTACCTACCTACCAACCAACCAACCAACCAACCAACCAACCAACCAACCAACCAACCAACCAACCAACCAACCAACCAACCAACCAATCAATCAATCAATCAATCAATCAATCAATCAATCAATCAATCAATCAATCAATCAATCAATCAATCAATCAATCAATCAACCCACCTACCAACCTACCAACCTACTAACCAACCTACCTACTAACCAATCAATCAATCAATCAATCAATCAATCAATCAATCAATCAATCAATCAATCAATCAATCAATCAATCAATCATACTCTCAACCCACCTACCAACCAACCAACCAACCTACCTACCTACTAACCTACCAACCAACCAACCAACCAACCAACCTGCCAACCAACCAACCAACCAACCAACCAACCAACCAACCAATCAATCAATCAATCAATCAATCAATCAATCAATCAATCAATCAATCAACCAACCAACCAACCAATCAATCAATCAATCAATCAATCAATCAATCAATCATACTCTCAACCCACCTACCAACCAACCAACCAACCTACCTACCAACCAATCAACCAATCTCAGGAATTCTTATAGCAGTTCAAATTGAGTGTAGAGTGAAGGATTTATTACTATTATGTGTACCAACAACAAAATTGAATTGTATTGAATTTGGAGTGTGTAATATAATTTTTAGTTTATTCGAAATTATACAAATAACACTTGATTAAAAAAAACATTTTATGTTAAAATGACCTTTGGGGCAGATGAAGGTTATTCCCCAAGGGTTTTTCTTGACCTGAAAAAGTTTTAAGACTCCTGATAGACACTAGACTGTCAGCAAGATAAGAGTGAAAACTGTCCACAGTGTGAGCAAAGGAACGAAACACGATCCAGCAAGTGGATGGAAATAGACTCTCAGCTGTGAAAATACACTTGTGTGTCTGTACAGGCTTGGCTGTACTTGAGGTCCAGATTGTTTGAAATGTCTTGAAACACATCTGACAACATCATCAATAAATGTGTATGTAGTATGGACTGTAGTTCTGGTCATTGGCCTGCAGCACATGAATCATATCTTGTGCAGCTGAAAGTAATCTAAGCTTCTTGCGGCCATCCAGTGGGTAATTTGGGCACACAGTAGGGCTGTATTCCCCACCCATGTGCCAAAGAGGAGGGTTTGATTTCACATGTGTACCCAGTGTGACGAATATAAGCTTGTGATTATTCCTAATGCTGAGTGTACACTAGTGTGAGTGGCTCACAAGTACAACAGTAAGAGAGACCAGTGTGGACCAATTGGACAACAAACAACCTCAATAATACAAAAAAACATTTTCTTACACCATATAATTTTCTAGCAATTGTTTTTATAGCTTCTAGTACTTTTTAAACTTAAAAAAAAGATTCTAATGAATAAAGTAAAAAGTAAGTGAACTTTTAAAAAATCTTTACTCAAACCTTTTTAAACAAAATGACAAGAGTGCAAATAGGTACAATAGAAAAAAATGTGTATTATTCAGCGATAAAATTATCAAGATCATTTATTTAAGAAGCAAAAATACTTAAGATTTTCAAGTTATTTTTTGGAGAATTTATAAAACACTTTTAAAAAAATTGTAAGGTAAGAGGTAAGATAAATAATAAAAAATAATTTATCATATGTTATTTATTTATTTTAAAATTGCTTTATGTTTTCAAACATGACTACTTTAATAAGGTATATGTTGATTTAAAATGTTTATACATTTTTAATTTGACTAAGAAATGTTTAACTAGGAAATCTAACTAAAACATTTTTTTATTATTATTATGTTTTTATATTCATTCATCCATCCATTTTCTTTCGACTTAGTCCCTTTATTAATCAGGGGTTGCCACAGCGGAATAAATCTCCAAACTCATCCAGCATATGCTTTATGCCCTTCCAGCATATGTTGATGCCCTTCCAGCACTGTGAAACATTCTTGCATTTAAAAACATACACTATGGGTAATTTAGCTTATTCAATTCACCTATACTGCATGTCTTTGGACTTCGGGGGAAATCAGAGCACCCGGAGGAAACCTATGCCAACACGGGAAAAACATGCAAACACCTTACAGAAAAGCCTACTGACCCAGCTGAGGCTAGAACCAGCGACCTTCCTACTATGAAGAAATCAAATGACCCACTGTGCCCCGTGACGCCTATGTTTTTATATAATTTTATATTATATAATAAATACAGGGCAAAGCAGTGGTGCAGTAGGTAGTGCTGTCGCCTCACAGCAAGAAGGTCGCTGGTTCGATCCTTGTCTCAGTTGGCGTTTCTGTGTGGAGTTTGCATATTCTACCTGCATTCGCGTGGGTTTCCTCCGGCTGCTCCGGTTTCCCCCACAGTCCAAAGACATGCGGTACAGGTGAATTGGGTAAGCTAAATTGTTCGTAGTGTATGAGTGTGTGTGTGTGAATGTGTGTGTGGATGTTTCCCAGAGATTGGTTGCGTCTGGAAGGGCATCCGCTGCGTAAAAAAAACTTGCTGGATAAGTTGGCGGTTCAATCCACTGTGGCGACCCCGGATTAATAAAGGGACTAAGCCGACAAGAAAATGAATGAATGAATAATAAATACAATAGAACAAAAATGTGCTCTGGTACACTGAAAAAAATTATTCAAACATGATTCCTTGGGTTTACTCAATTTTATTATGTTAAGTGGTTGTAAACAATTTAATTGTGTTGAATTTAAACAAACACATTAAGTTGAACATTATTCAATTTAATTTGATTGTTTAAATTCAACACAAATAAATTGTTTGCAACAGTTCTGCATGCAACACTTTTTTCAGTGTAGATCTAATGAATTTGTTCTGCAATAAAATAATCACAATCATTTATTTGAGAAGCAAAAATACAAAAGATTTTAAATGTTATTTTCTGGAAAATGTATAAAACACAAATTTTTTTGCTTAAAACAAAAACGAAAAACTGCTAAAGAGGTAAGATAAGTATTGAAGAAATAAATAATGTATAGTATTTTATTCATTTATTTATTTAAAATGAGTTATTAAACTAAACTTAGTTTAAACTAAGTTTAACTAAACCAATTAGAACTTAGTTTAAAAAAATATGACTACTTTAATATATGTTGATTTAAAATGTTTACACAGTTGTAATTTGACTAACAAAAATGTAACTAAATGTAACTAAAGAATAATGTAAAGAAATCTAACTAAAACAAAAAAATCTAATTTATTATTACATAGTTATGTATTTTACTATTCATTTAATTACTTAATTGTTTATTTATTACATACTTTTTCCTTTAAAAGCACTTACATGTTCAGTCTATTTAAAAGGCCATAAAAACTGCAGATTTTTATAGCTATGCTGATGTAAAACACGATACATGCATGTGCTATGTTAACGCAAAATTTCCCTTCTCTGATAACCACTGAAATTCCCATCCTAAAGACTCCAGCATCTATTTCCACCACTGTTGAGTACACAGAGTACAGCTGTCTCTGACATCACCGCTGAACAACATGTGAAAAACTTCCTCTCAGCCTCATCAGCTCCCAGGGTACAGAAGAGTGAGCTAATCAAGAAATGAACCACGACATGCGGGTCACAAGATACTATGAAAAGGTCAGATCTTTAGATGGAATGTGATGATGGTGGAAGTACAGCAGATCCATTACTCAACACGAAACGTCCTTTTCACTTCTTTGTTATTCAAAATATCTGGAAGACAGGATGAAACTAACCCTAAGCTTGGAAGCTTTTGAGACCTTCTTCTCTCGATTTATTTTAGCTTGTGCTGCCAAAGACATGTTGTATGCTGTATGAAACTTCCATCTTTTTTTTACACTGTGTTGCACATCACAGCAAATTCAAGGGGGTTTCAAAACACTCAGAAGGCAGTTGCCTGATCTTATAACTGTCACCTCATGCCCTCCGCCAGGCCCCCGAGACTTGTCTGCTAATGCTGAACAGCTTTCAAACATATCAAGAGAGAACACAAAGATAAATACATTTATATAATTCATTAATAATAAACAATTGAAATGTTCCAAATGAAAGGATGGGGATGGATGGATGGATGGATGGATGGATGGATGGATGGATGGATGGATGGATGGATGGATGGATGGACGGACGGATGGACGGACGGATGGATGGATGGAAGGATGGATATGCTTTAATTGATAAAAAACTTAAACAAAGTGTTGTCACAGTGATGCCATAGAAACAAAAACATATTTGGTGAAAGGTTTGTAAGCTAAACATTTATTTCTTATTGTGAAGAAGATGTTGATTGTGTAAATAATGTTTTTATTTAAATTATAAAGAATGCTTTGTGGGATAGAATGTATGGCTGCTTGATAGTGGAAAAATTACACATATTTTGTATTGTAACAATATATATTGTGACATGAATATAATTTCACCAGATACTTTAGATAGCTCTATTTGGAAAGATTTCATTAATTTAGTTTAAAATAAGTCTTTTTATTTGCAGTGCTTCTGCTTAAAATATAATAAGTCACAATATAAATATAACAGAGTTAAATAAACAATGCTTTATAGTTTTCTGGAGAGAGAAATTTTATTCAAATATTATTCAATACAGAAACTTAACAATCAATTAAATGTAAAATAACATGGTCATCATTGTATAGTAATTTTTACAAAATAATATTTCATAATGTCTTTATCTTTTAATCTTTAAAAAAAAAATCTAATCCAGTGATGTGACACATTATGATATTGATGCTCAATTAATATATTGTTCAGTCCTAATGAAAAGTTAGTATGGATGTTAAAAATTCTTTGTGAAATAACTAAGGGAGATAAAGAAGCTTTATTTTAAAGATATTGATGGATGAATAAATGTATGGATGAATATCTAATATATTGATATATTAATATATATAATATATTGTGTTTTGACAATGTACAGCTAAAACAAAATGTCAAATTACTCTATCCACTGCAAAAAATGATTTTCTTTTTGTCTAATTTTTGTTTGTTTCCAGTGCAAATATCTTAAAATTCCTAATTTGAGAAACTTTATCAACTATATGCCCCCCAAAATTAGTTGTTTTCAATTTTTTTTTTATTAAAAAATGGGGTGATCAAAATAATTTTGTTTTCTCTTTGAAATAAGATTTAGACAATCTTTTTAGTTGTTTCTTGATTTAAGAATATTTAGATATTGTAACAAAAAAAAAAAGATCAAAAAGTAAGAAAAGCATTATGTGCAGTGTCCAAATCAAAGAGATACATGTTTAACTCAACAGTATTCAGATAGACCAAAACATTTTTAATGTAGGAATGTCATAATGGCAGTACACTTTTCAATTCAGATAGAATGATTCAATTTACAGTAAGTGGCAATTAATTTATTTATTTATTACAATCACATCAAATTAAAAAAAAAATCCAGCTTTCTTTAAAACATTTTACTTTAAAAAAGAGAAAGTCAAACAGGATTGGAAGTGGGGCGAGTTAACGACTAAATTGTCAGTTTTGGTTGAACTGCTCCTTTAATATTATTAAACATATTAATAAAATATTTAAATCAGCGTATTAATAATCTTAATATTGTTATAACATAGGCCCTAATGTTTAAAACATACCATATATTTTCTTATATGATCGTTTTATTATAATTAATCAAATAATTAAAATTTATATATATATATATATATATATATATATATATATATATATATATATATATATATATATATATATATATATATATATATAATTGATATAATAATTTAGTAAAATAAAACAATGTTTTCCCTATTATTTTACACGAATATTGGCCATATATAAATTAACCCTGTTGTAATCTGTGCTAATTAAAACATTGTAGACACATGTGTTACCAACTTACTCAATATCCAATTTGAGTTCATTATATTTATTTAGCTATACATACAAACATAAAATTCCCCAGGATCAGACAGATTGTTGCAAAGCTATCTCACAGCAATTCGTAACGTTTCGATTTATCAATTCTTGTGAATTCGTAAGATCTCATTCTTGCAATTTAGTATGATTATCTCGCAATCACGGTTAGGTAGGTGTGGGGTTGGGTGCCACGCCTCCTTTAAAAACTCACCAAACTGACAAAACATTAACGTAAAAAAGTTCAATTACCTTACCTGAGCACTTTCTCCTCCGGCTCATCGTCTGTGTGTTCTGGTCCCGTGTCGTGAACTCGAATAGCACGCGGACCCGGCGGCAGGAAGGCAGACAGCAGATATAAGTAAAAAGTTGCTGCGGCCACCAGAACGATTAAACCCCAAATTGAGCGCATAGTCCCGGGATAGATCTGCCTAAAACCGACCCTTCTGCACTTGCTGCTACACCTGTTAAATAGCAGATCCGGTCGGTGGGCAGTTTATACATGTTACGTCTCCAGCTCATGGAAGTACGTGGACTTACTGTATTGCGACAGTGTGAGTGAAGCCCCTTATGAGGGTGGACCGATCTGTCACATGAGACCCCCCAAATATTTGAGCCCATGGTGAGGTAACTCTGGAAAAATTCTGAGTAAATAAAAAAAACATGAACATACAAAGACTAGAATTGTATAATGTTTGGAAAAATTCAATACTACTACTATAGTAAAAAAATGTTGAATGCTTAAAAAGAAGGCTATGTATTTATTTTTAAATTTCAAAATTATTATTTATTCCTGCAATGGAAAAGATTTTTTTCCATGATACATGTCATCCCCCTAATCCAGTGGTTCTGCAGAATGTGTATGTCTCTCTTATTTGACACAAGGATCAGTTCATGGATCTCTCTGTTTACAAGCTGATGATCTGAATCAGGTGTCCTAATACATACAAAACGTGCAGGGTCGGGTGGGAGGCCCTGTAAATGAGTTTTAAGTTTGAGTATTGCTTTAACAGCTCCTCATATCTACTAGTATATGTTCAATTAATTCTGCAAAATCTGTAGATTCTTGACATTTTTGGAGTTTAAACTCTTAAACAGCCCTAAAAGCACAGACTTCATGGCATTACACATGCAATGCAAACAAACACTTTGAAATTTAAAAAGAACTGACTGAGTCTGCACTGTTAGACCTTATCAGGCTTTTTACAGTGAAACATTGGTAACACTGTTGCCAGTTTGTCACTTTAATGGTTTGGTTACAGTGAGTAACTTGCAATAGTGTAATTAAACTAATTGTAATTAACAACAGTGTAGCTACTACTCATAGAGTAATATTGTATACATGCGCTTCACTTTTTGCACATTTTTTTATGTTACAGCCTTAATACAGGCCTGATTGGTGGATTGCTGCCCAAATAGTTGTCCTTTTGTAAGGTTTTCCTATCTCCACACAAGAACGCTGGGGCTTAGACAGAGTGACTATCGGGTTATTGATCACCTCTCTGACTAAGGCTCTTCTCCACTGTGCTCATTGGAACTTTCAGAGCAGCAAAACTTTTTCTGTAACCTTCCCCAGCCTTGTGCCTCGAGACAATCCTGAACTGGACATCCACAGACAATTCCTTTGTCTTCATGCTTGGTATGTGCTTTGACATGCACTGTCAACCCTGGGACTTTATATAGACATGTGTATGCCTTTTCAAATCATGTCCAATCAACTGAATTTACCACAGGTGAACTTCTATTAAGTTGCTGAAACATCTCAAGAATGATCAGAATGTATACCTGAGCTCAATTTAGAGCTTTAGAGCTTTTCTTTTTTAGAGCTAATAAAGAGGTTTTTTAGAGCTAATAAATTTGCAAATTTTTTTTTCACATTGTCATTATGGGGTATTGTGTGCAGAATGTTTAATTATTATTTTTTTTAATCCATTTTGCCATAAGTGAAAAAATGAAGCACTATGAATAAGCACTATGAATACTTTCTAGATGCACTGGATATAGTTATTGTAGTGTTACTAAAATGAATCAGTATTCTTATCTGTTGTTAAAAATAGAGAGCATATAAATTCTTCAGACAAATGTATTTTATTATTTTGGCAGCAAATAAATAAACAACAGAAAATGTATATTCAAATTAAACAATGAATTTTTTATTTACAATTAAACAAAAAGGTTAAACTAATAAACAACATGTGCAGTGAGTAGCACACATGGTGTCAAACATTTAAAAATCATCTCATTAAAAAATTATACTCGGGGCAACAGCTCTGCACAGTTAAGCTTTAACCCTTTTTAAGCACACCAGATCAAACTAATTGAGTCCATCTGGCTTGTTAGTTGCTGAAGCAGGGAAAGAACTAAATTCTGCTAGGCAGCGGCCCTCCAGGAGTTTGACATAAATAGTATATAACCTATTTTTAAAGCAACTGCCAACTTATATCACAATCACATACCCAATAAAAAACAAACAAACAAATAAATAACTCCAAATCTGTAGTAATAATAAATAAAAATAATAACAATCCAATTTATGCATTTGGGCATCACGGCAGCGCAGTGGATAGCATGATCACCTCACAGCAAGAAGGTCGCTGGTTCGAGCCTTGGCGGGGTCAGTTGGTGTTTCCGTGTGGAGTTTGCATGTTCTCCCTGTAATCACGTGGGTTTCCTCCGGGCGCTCTGGTTTCCCCCACAGTCCATGCAGTACTGGTGAATTGTGAAAGCTAAATTGTCTGTAGTGTATGTGTATGGATGTTTCCCAGTGATGGGTTGGGATATTAAAACATATGCTGGATGAGTTAGTGTTTTTTTTCCGCTGTGGCGACCCCAAATTAATAAATGGACTAGCTGAAAAGAAAACCAATGAATAAATGATTTATGCATTTATTTGAGAAAGTTTTTCTAACTCAAATACCATTTTACTTACTTCATTTGAAGTTTTCCAGTAAAATTCATTAGGCTACTGCATATTATTTAGTAAGATACTAATATTCAGCTTAATGGGCAATTCAAAGGCTTATGTAGGTTAAATATAGCAAACGTAAATAAAATAAAATTATAATTGTCAACTTCCTTGCTCTGTTTAACATCACTTGGAATATATTTGATAAAATAATTATAACAAAAAGGGTGAATAATTTTGTCTTCAAATGTATCTTGTCTATGTAATACTTACCCTTTGAATAAGCACTATTGTTGTATTGGTTGAATTCTGATATTCAATATTAGAAATGTAAAAGGAACCAAAGACATTGAAAGGGCTGCAGTGAAATCAAACTACTCATAAGTGCAATGTGTCACTCTCCCCTCAATACTGACCATCCACATCCCAAAACTGAAATCAAAATATTTTTAGTTTTCTTTTTTATTAAAAATAATAACCATAAAAGTAAGCATATTAAAATAATGCACACACACACAGACACTAAAGCGATATAACTAGAGAAATGACGATGACGAAAGCGTGCCCAGGCCAGACTTTAATGTGAGTGCGGGCCGTCGGTGGAGACAGGAGGGGGGACAAGCATTCTTTAGCCCAGTTCGAGGCAACTGTACATAGTGTGAGTACGCCCTCAAAAGTAAATAAAACACACACCTGGTTTCCTTAAAGGGGTAACCCCTTTTGCCTAGTTTCCTCTCAGTGGTACTGTTCATATAAACCAGTGGTGTCCAAACTTGGTCCCTGAGGGCCGGTGTCCTGCATATTTTATTTTCTACACCAATTAAACACACCTGAATTAGCTAATCAAGCTCAAATTAGGTTTAAGCTGCGGTCACACTAGATTTTTAGCGTGCGAAATTCTGTCGTACGGCGCTGCGAAAAGGGGCGGGATTAAACAAGATGATTAGACATTAAAAAAACGAGCCATTGCTCAATGTTTAAAATTTCTGTCCAGAGAGGTCATGTTTTGATACCTGGTTGGTCTCACGCAGTCAAGTAATGCGATTTCGCAGGTCAGAGTTCACCAAGCTTGAACTTTGCACTGCAGCATCCTGTGAAACTTGACGCATGACGCGTTTCCACGGTCAGCTCTGCACAGTTTTGCTCCAACCCTAATCAAACACAGCTGATCAAACTAATCAAGGTGTTCAAGACTACAAGAGATTACTAAAGGTATTAAAGGTGCAGTATGTAAGTTTGACACCCAGTGGTTGAACTAGGTATTGCACCCCTGGTTCAAAACAAACGCAAGTGCAGATTGCTAATTTGAAGACAGGAGCGAGCGATTTAAACTGTGTTCTAAATAAAAGCAACAGCACCCGATAGAAGGAATATTTTACATATTAAATTAAGTTTTTTACCTCGAATTTATATATTAGAAACTTTTTCTACTTTTCACAGGTGAACAACAGAAAACTGACATGATCTTATCAGGTACACCTCGTGTGCTGTATTCAGTGTTAAATGCTAACAATGTGAGGTTGAATACAAATTTTATATGACATTTATTGCCATATACTAAAAGCAGCAGTAGATAGTTCACCAGATCTTGAAAATAAAATAAACCATTTGAAAATGAACTTTAGAAGACATATCAGTAATACAGCATATACATTTTATAATGTTAACGAGAGTTAATATATATTAAACTTATTATAAACCTTACCATTTCATGAGGGCCTATTCTGTGCTTCTGAATGGCTGTATTTAAATTTCTGATGTGTTTCGTCTAGAGAAAACTGCCAAATATCTCAAATTGCGTATCTCTTCATGAAGCATGTAGCTAGGTCACAGGGTTACAATGTAACCTGCTCGCCTAATGTTTACGTTACATTACAATATTTATATTATAACCGAGAAAAGAGCAAACTCGCCCCCATGCAGAGGATCTCTTTTCTCGGGATGGAGCTGGACTCGATCACCATGGTAGCGCACCTCTCCGAGGAACGCGCTCACCTGTTGCTGAACTGTCTGAGAGAGCTCGACAGCAAACTAGTGGTCCCACTGAAGTTCTTTCAGAGGCTCCTGGGGCATATGGCATCCGCAGCCGCCGTCACGCCGCTCGGATTACTCCATATAAGACCACTTCAGCACTGGCTTCACGATCGGATCCCAAGACGCGCATGGCACGTGGGCACACACCGGGTCTCTGTTACTGCGCTGTGTCACCGCGCCCTCAGCCCTTGGAACGACCCCTCGTTCCTACAGGCTGGTGTGCCTCTAGGACAAGCGTCCAGCCATGTTGTTGTTTCAACGGATGCTACCAACACAGGTCGGGGGGGGGGCCGTGTGTCGCGGGCATGCAGCTGCGGGCCTGTGGAAGGGTGCCCAGTTGCATTGGCATATCAATCGCCTAGAGCTATTGGCATTGTTCCTCGCTCTCCACCACTTTTTACCGGTGCTGGAATCAGGACGGCAGCGGCGACGTATATCAACTGCATGGGGGGTATGCGCTCTCGCCGCATGTCTCAGCTTGCCCGCCGTCTGCTCCTCTGGAGTCACCCGCGGCTG